TTTTGCTGAAATGGTGCAAAAGCCAGGTTTTGTTACAGCCCAGGGCCTCAAAGCTCTGCTCCCTGCTGGAGGCCGAGCGGTGCAGGCAGCTAGGAGAGACTGCATGACAATGGAGGAACAGAAACAACGCTGAGGGGAGGAGGAGGCCAAAAAAAGGAGCAGAGCCTTCACACACATGTGCACACACACACACGCACGTGCACAAAGCTTATTCATCCAAACCCAGAGGGAGCCCGTTCTGAAGCTTCAGATTAATGCAAAAAGGGTTATGACAAGCAAAGACATCAAAAGGTCTCCAAACCATCAGCGAGCACTTTCTCTAAGGATTTAGCTAGTCAGCAGGGGAAAAAAATGTGACAGTGGGATCTGAGACAACAGGTAGGAAAAGAGCCCAGCACAAACAGACAGTTTTTAAAGTCAGCACGCCGGCAGCCGCAGTGCCAGTGAAAAGGCACCGCAGGGAGCGGGTAAGTCGTCTCTACCTGTGCGTGTTTCATTTGTTGATATTCGGGCTGAGGTAGGTGCTTTTATCTCCCCACATCAGGGTAAAAGAGGCACTGGAAAGAAATTGCTGGCTGTTCTGTATCTTCGTCTGCGTAAGCTTTTGTGTTGGGTTTCAGAGGCTGGGGGAATAGGGCCGAGTGCTCAGCCGATGTCATCAGGGCTGCATCAGTGACCTCAGCAGAGCAGGCTGGTTCATACCAGTTGAGGAACAGCCCATAAAGTTTTGCTAAATGGTAATGGAAGAGGCTTCCTTAAAGTAATAAAACTGCATAGATTCCAAGCCCAAAGCCACAAGAGTCCATGAGATCATTTTGTCTGACTTCCTGCACGACGCAGGACACAGGATTTCACCCAGCTCTCTCTGGAGCTCAGTCACTTGAGTATACTCAAGTATCTCTTCCAGAAAGGCATCTGAGTCTTGCCTGGAAGAGGTCAAGAGATGGCAAGGCCACCCCTACCCTTGGCTCTTGGGTCTAGGGGTCAATCATCCTTGCTGCTAAAACGTGTGCTTTATTTTGCATGTGAATTTGTCTGGCATCAGCGTCCAGCCATTGGTTCATGCCCTCCTTTTCTCTGCAGGAGCCTTTTCTTTCTTTCTTTTAGCATTTTCTCCCCATGAAGGTATGTGCACAAGGTAATCAAGTCATGGAGAGAGACCAGACAACTTCATGTGAAACCAGTGAACAAATGAAATAGCTCCAAATGGCTAAAACCCTTTCTTTTCTTGTTTTCTCTTTCAGTTACAGAGAAGGAGGTGCAGCAGTGGTGAGTTTCCAAACTTGTCTTTCTGGTTCTTGTGAGTGCAGGAGTGTGTGTGTGTGTGTGTGTGCGTGCATGCGTGTGAATGTGTGCAGCAATTGCCCAGCACTGGTTCTGTGCACACTCCTGCTCGCTTCTGTTTCTCTGTGGAAAATGGTTGCGTGAAGCAAGGTGGTAGGCTTGGCTAGATCCTAAGCCCCCTGTGGAGGTGGAGGTGGATGTCTTGGGGAGGAAGGCGGTGGGATTACAGAGCTGTGTTGCCCAGGAGCTGGCTGAGCTGAGAGGTGGAGGCAGGGATGGCAGTCTCCAAAGCCCCAAGCCTCTTTGGGATGGGGCTCCTGTTCCCCAAGGGTCCTTCCCATAATCCAGTCCTGCCACGTAGAGGTCCCACACTGCCTCCAGCTGCTTGGGCTGGCCAGTTGTCTTGACTGAGCAGCAGTTTTCACTCCTGTCCTGAGAGCTCCCTTGTGCACGAAGACGTCCTATGACCTGGCCTCATGTTCGGGCATGGCTGGCTGGCGACCCGGGGCAGACAGGAGATGAACCTAGGACTTTTGCTAGGGTGCCAGCCTGAAAGGGGTGACGAAGTTTGCTGTGTTGGGTAGCGGTTGGTAATCTCCATTGGCTTTCGTCACGGAGCCCCTGCCCCTTTCCCCTCCCTGTTGGGTTGCTTTTGACTGAGTGCAACACAAGCCCTGTAGTCCTTGAGGCTCTGCAGGGCACAGACCCAGTGGATATAGTTTTCCTAGACTTCAGGAAGGCTTTTGATACTGTCTCTCACCCCATTCT